AACAACCACAACAACAACAACAACCACAACAACAACAACAACAACCACAACCAACAACAACAACAACAACCACAACCACAACAAGCAACAAGCAACAAGCAACAAGCAACAAGCAACAAGCAACAAACAACAAACAACAAACAACAAACAACAAACAACAAACAACAACAACAACAACAACAACAAACAACAAATAACAACCAACAACCAACAACCAACAACCAACAACCAACAAGCAACAAGCAACAAGCAACAAACAACAAACAGCAACAAACAACAAGAGACAACAACAACAACATTCATTCACTCGCAGCGGGAGAAGTCCTCGAATGCTTCGTATAGCTATCCTCGCTTTGCGACGAACAACACAACAACAACAACAACAAGAAGCAACACCAAGCAACAGCAAGCAACAGCAAGCACAACAACAACAGCAACAGCAACAGCAACGGCAGCAGCAGCAGCAGCAGCAGCAGCAGCAACAGCAACAACAGCAACACCAACAACAGCAACAACATCGGCATCAGCAACAGCAACAGCAACAGCAACAACCCCCACCACCACCACGACAACAACAACAGCAGCAGCAGCAACAGCAACAGCAATACCAAGAACAACAACAGCAGCAGCAACAACAACAACCACAACAACAGCAACAACAGCATCACGAGCAACAACATCAACAGCAAACAACAAACCACAGACAACAGACAACCAAACAAAAAACAACAAACAACCAACAACAAACAACCAACAACCAACAAACAAACAACAAACATCAAATATCAAGTAACAAACAACAACATGAACAACAACAACAACAAGAGGAAGGAAGGAAGTTGGCGCGTATGCCGCCGCAAAGCGTGTCGCTCTTTGTGATTATTTGTAGCCAAACACCTGCAAACCTCGATTTTTGCGTGGCATTCGTGAATGAGACATGTTTTTTTCTCTTTGGATTTTCTTGGTGTTTTGTTCCTGCTTTTTGAGGATACTTGTTGCGGATGTGTGCCAGTGTTTTTATTGGTTGAATTTGGGTTGTCTTTCAATGTTTTTGTTTTGTGTTTGTGCAAAAACGTCGCAAAAACAGTGTTGCTTAAGAACAAAATGTTGTGGGCCCATGTCACAGAGAACATGTCAACAGCAGCAGGATGCGGCAACATTGTCATGGTGGCTGGTATCATCATAGTTATAGTTATTGTCATCGTCACCCGTCTGCTTCTCAGGATTCTCCTTCTCATCATCATCATCATCGTCATCATCATCATCAGCATCACCAACATGAACCCCATCACTTCCCTCAGCAAGATCATCATCAACATCATCAGCTTCCTGACCAACATTTGTATCGTCATAATCATCCCAAGTAGCAGCATGAAGATGTTTATGAGCATCATCATCACCATGAGCTTGTTTGCCTACTTCGAACCCTAAAGAGACAGAGTGCAGAGCAGGAGGTACTGTTTGCATAACTCGGAGCGACGTGACATGGAGAAAATCATTGCCATGAACGTCAACATGCCCCCCATCCCCCCGACCCACCCCCCCCCTCCACGAAAGCAAAAGAAAATAAGAAGAAACGCATAGCGAATATCACACGCCGCATAGCCATGGACGTTAACATCCCCCCCCCATCATGCCCCCTCCCCACCCCTGCCCCCACTAAAGCAAACGACAATAAGAAGAAACACATAAGCGAATGTCACAAGCCGCATCGGCATGGACGTTGACATCCCCCCCCCACTCCCCCCTCCCCACCCCCCCAGGAAACCAAAAAGAGAAAGAGAAACGAGACGGCAGACGAAAGCCACAGACGAAACCAGGCGAGTTGCAAGCCAAAAATGGAAACGGAGAAGGCACGGAACACCGTACATTCAGATAGAAAAGACATGCGAATGTGCAACAACCTAGGGATTTTGTTTTTTCTAGGGCACTGTAAAAATCGATGCAAAAGCCGAATCGCAGATTTTTTTGTCCAGACTGAAACGTGCCAAGACTCGAGTTCTGGCACATTGCAGCCCCGAAATCGATGCACCCTTCGCGGCGGCATACGCGCCACCTGCCAACAACAGTAACAACAGCAGCAGCAGCAGCAGCAACAGAACATCAACAACACCAACACCAGCACCAACCAACACCAACACAAAAACCAACAACCGCGACGACGACAGTGACCGCAACAGCCACAGAAACTGCAACAGCGACAGTAAGCAGCAGCACCAGCTGCACCAGCCACAGCAACCGCAGCGGCAGTGGCAGCAGCAGCAGCAGCAGCACCAGCAAGAGCACCAGCAACAACAACAACAACGACGACAACAACAACAACAACAACAGCAACAACGACAGTAACAACAAGCAGAGCAACAACAACAACAACAACAAAAGCGACAACAACAACAACAGCAACAGCAACAGCAACAGCAACAACGATAACGACAACAACGACAAGACCAGCAACAGCGACAGCGGCGGCGATAGCAGCAGCAGCAGCAGCAGCAGCAGCAGCAGCAGCAGCACCAGCCAAACGATCATAGCGACAACGAAGGCATCATCAACAACAACAACAACAACAGCAACAACAACAACAACGACGACGACGACAACAACGACAGCATCAACAGCAACAGCAACAACAACCAGGACGACGACAACAACAACAACAACAACCACCAAAAGAAAGCGACAACGACAGCCAACAACCAACGACCAGTAGCGAACAACCACCAATGCCAACATGAACGACAGCAACAGCATCAGCCTCAGCAAAAGCACCAGCACCAGCACCAGCACCAACAGCAGCTGAAACAGCCACAACCAAAACAACACCAACCACAACCACAACCAGGACGACAACAACAACAACAGCAGCCAGCAACAACAGCAGCAACCAGCAAACAACAAACAATGCAATTTTTAAACACTAAATATCAAGCAACCAACAACATCAGCAGCAGCAACAACAACAACAACAGCAACAACAGCAGCCACGGCGACAGCAGCACTAGCAGCACCTGCACCCATCTGCACCTGCACCGCCTGCACCTGCACCGGCACCGGCACCTGCATCTGCACCAGCAACAGCAACAGCAGCAGCAACAACAACAACAGCAACAACCACAACTACAACCACAGCGGCAGCCACAACGACAACGCCAACAGCGGCGACGACGGCGAAGACAGCAACGGCAACAGAAGTTACATGGACCAGAACAAAAACGGCAACAAACCTCGGAATGCTCAATTATGTGCCCCCTCACATTCCGCCGAGGCACTTGAAAATGCTGAGGCGCACAGTGGAGGGAGCCTGGTTCGAGCATGGCTCGTTTGGTGGTACTCCTGCTTCCTGAACCCGAAGTTGCATAAATCATTTGGTTTAGGGGCTTCATTCCCTGCCTTGCGGATTTTAGGGTGGATGCTGTGGTCCCTGCAAGTGTTAAATGCCTGAGAACCATCTCCCAAACTCTGACTTCGCTGCTAGCTGCCACTCAGCTTCTCGACAAACCTGGTCTGAATTCTCAACGCTTCGGCAGGAGTCCAAAAAACTCAAGCTGAAGCTCGCGAGCCCAAGCTCTAACATGCATTGCTGCCGCGATGTCACGAAAGACGAGTACCATTGCCACTCCCGTCATCGTCATACCAAGCATATTTCTGGCGGTCCTCGCAGCGCAGCTGGAGCAGCTCTTCCCTAAGATTTCTGAGCCCCAAGGGCCATCCGCCGCGTTGCAGGCACAGGCCAGGAAGGCCCTCATTTTCCTTCACGTGCCCTTGTTCGAAGCGGCCACGAAAGCCAAGACGGTCGTCTGGAATTCCGAGGCTTCCAATGTAGAGCTCGTGGTTCAGAGGCTTTCAGAAAGCATTGACTTGGTCGTTACGAGGCCTCGGGACTCGAGACTTGGCGGAGCTTCAGGTTTCGGAGTTTTGTGCCGTTTGGAGGCCATCAGGTTCTTTGTACGGGAATGTGTTTGCACTAGTAGATCCTGAATACACCCCAAAAAGTATGGTCTGGTGTTTGACCAATCAAGTTTTCAGCCGTGGAGCAACCACCCTAGGCCGGCATTCAATCGGTAATGGGTGATACCATGGAACAACAGCAAACCCTATCCCTGCAGCCTAGAAATCGTTTACTGATCGCAGCTGATTCTGCAGGAAGTCTTGCAAGTCCTTCACTCGCACAGCGACACCGTGGTCGCGGTTTTTGCTGGCCACGATCACAACGGAGGCCCGGCCAGGAAAAAGCAGGCTACGAACCCTCAAGTCCGTGCTGGCCTGAAGGTTCTCGAAGCTCCGCGGGCCCTTCTGCTGAATAGGCTTGACTAACATGGTTTGGATGAGGGGGGTCAATGGACTGCCTGATAGGGATTCTGACTAAAGGGTCCCAAAAACCCAAGTCCTAAGTTGTGAAGCCATGGCTCCGTACCCTGCAACCGGAACCCCAAAGTGCACAGTGCTGTATTAAGAGCGACTTATCGGGTTGATGGCTTCCCCACATGTGCACGATGTTCTAGAACCGTGAAAGTGTCTTTGTTGTCGGTGAGAGTGCCCGCAAAGAGCCTTATGCACAACCTGGTACGTAGCATCGCAGAGGCTTAGCAGTCAACTCCACAATCTCTCAAGTCGCAGCCCCTGGACCCCCGAGTAGCCCCAGACCTTCATTCTTGACAACACCCATGTGACTGGGTGCCCCAGGCTATGGCGTCGATGCGGCAGGAGCTCCCTAGTTAAATCCCACAGTCCATGGCGGGTTTGGGGAGGTATAGGTCTTTAGGTTCAGGATGTTTAGGCTTCTGGCTTTGGAGTTGGGGTTTGGGGAGTCGACGTGTTGGAGGCCCGGAAGCTCTGCTTCAGTGCTTCATCTTCGCTGGGATCTGCTTCAGTGCTTCATCTTCGCTGGGATTCAGCGTGAACTTCTGTTCAGTGGAGTTTTTCGCTTCTGATGTTATACTATGCTGTGTTTTTTTTTTGCATTGTGCTTTGTTGACATGGCCTGCTAGTTGCTGGCGACAACTGCCACTTTGTGGCGACCATGATGGTCAGAAGAGCTCGTGTCCACTGCTTGCGGCAGTCCTACAGCGTGCAACTCTGGAATCTGATCTTATCGATTCGAGTCTTGCCGGTGGTGCCAAACTCCCGTTTAAAGGGTTGTTATAAAGATTTATGAGCTGGTGGCCCTACTTCTTGGATTCACTGCAAAACGATAAGGAAGAATGTTTAACGATATCTCAGTATGGCAGGGATATAGTACAAAAAAGATTCCCAAAGCCCCAAGTGAAAGTGGCAGGCGTTCGAGCTGCAGCAAGTCTTCAAGAAACCCGCAGCAGTAGTATTGAGACATATTGAGTCTTTGGGCCTGTAGTCTTTGTGGTCGTATGAGATCAAGTGCAGGCATACACCACATCACCATGAACTCGCCGTTGACAGCCGAGCCGGGCAGTGACTGCTATGCAGTGCTGGAGTGCCACTCTGATGGGTGGGCACATTTTCTCCCGCACGGACGGGCCTGCGTCCGGGCCTTATGAATTATCATCCGAAGTTCATTCCCATGTACTTGGGAACTGAGGTTGAGAGCAACACCGACGGTGCTGGGCAAGCGTATCCGCAGCTCATTCTGGCCAAAGGCTGGGCATGGGGCTGAGGGATTGCTGAAGGTCTAGAGTTTAGAGTTTTGAGAAAGTTTCTGTGTTTTTGACTGCGGCATCTACCCTTACATTCAGGGTTTTGAGTCTAGGGGCTTCTCAGGGCCGTCGAAACGCGCTGCAAGCTCACTGCGCTCCACAAGCCTCCACGGCAGGCTCCAAGAACCTGCCCGGTGACAGTGACGAGCGGTCTCCTGGGGCCGACAGTCAGGCAAGGTGCATAGCCCACCCACTGCTCGTGTATGTAATGTAATGTAATGTCCTGTACTGCACTGTACTGCAATGTAATGTACTGTACTGTAATGTAATGTACTGTACTGTAATGTAATGTAATGTAATGTAATGTATGCATGTATGTATGTATGCATGTAGGTAGGTATGCATGTATTTATCTGTGAATCTATGTCATAATTAGGCATGCAGGAGGGTTTGAGGGAGGTCCAGGTAGGTCGCTATGTAGGTAGGTAGGTATATATGTATCTGCCTACCTACCTACCTACCTACCTACCTACCTACCTACCTACCTGCCTATCTACCTCTCTACCTGCCTACCTACCTACGTACCTATATGTCGATCGATCAATTTATCCATCTATGTAGCTGGATGTGACTGTTTGTAAATGTAAATGTAATGTAGGTACTGGCAACTGTTTGCAGCTGTATGTATTTGTATATGTACGTGTGTGCTGTGGTGTGTACTTTTCTGTGATGGTGCAGTCGAGCTGCATGTAATTGTAGGCTAGTGTGTGTAACTGTGTAACTGTGTAACTGTATGGAATCTTATCCAAGTTTTGGTAACTGAATGCAAGTCCTTGGTCTCGAAGAGGCCCCTAAACCCGCCACTCCAAAGCCTCTACACCCCCCTGACCCCAAAGCCCCAAACTCCTAAACCCCTAAACCCTAAGGCCCTAAACCCCTAAGCCTAAGCCCCAA